AAACTGGATTATAAACAGAAAACTACTGCTCAGGTGTTAGAAAGAAATAGAAACTCAAGAAGGTAAAGGACCAACTTTAAGACTTTCATCTTGAAATCACAGAACTAGAGAAAAGGAAGGGAAAAGAGGAAAAGAAATTTAGATATAACAATATAATAGGCCATATAACAAGTAGAGAAGAAATGGGACCACTCTGAACTAAATGAAGCTTTGAAAACTCTACTGAATCCATGTGAAAAATTCCAATGTGGGAAGATTTTTAAAAGGAGGTAGCAAAGGGTTGTTAATGTTTCCATTGACTCCCCTCTTAGACCTTGTCATCAGACCTAGTGAGAGACTTAGGGGTGAGGCAATCCAACTAAAGAGTCTACTACACTCTGACAGGCTGACAATACAGCTGAGCGCCCCAGGGCTTTCACAGAGGAATCAGGGACAAAATTTGAAGGGTATGCATTTTCCTGACACGTATCTTCATCAGAGATCTAACTGGATTGGATTCAAGGACAGGACATCCTCATTATAACCATCAAGGACATTTTCAACTTCACTCATTCATGCAACACATTTAGATTGAGCACGGCATTAAAAATTATTTAGAAGTTGGGTATATAGAAGCAAAAAACAAAAGCAGATAAGAGCCCTACTCTCATGAAGCTTATATTCTGAAGAAAAAGAAAAACAGAGTAAACATGATTTCAGATCTTGGTACGTACACTGAAGAAAAAGGCTAAAAGGCAGGGAATAAGGGTGATTGGCATTGGGATGGTTTTTTATGGTAGGGTAGCATTGGCAGGAATTTTTGAAAGAGTGACTTGACTGGAGACCTGCATAAATTGAGGGCATAAGTCAGGGTAGGGGGGTTATAGGTAGCGGGAAGCAAGTACAAAGATGCTGAGATGGGTCAAGCTTGATGTGCTCACAGCCAGCAAGATGGCTAACCTGGAAGAAATAGAACAAGCACGAACACAAATGGTAGAAAGTCAAGTGGGTGATGCAGGCAAGGGCCTGACCATCAGGGCTCTGAGAGAAGGGGTAGGGAATCTGGATTTTATTTTGCGTGCAGTGAAAAAACACTGGAGGGCTTTGGGCAGAGGAATGATTTGATGTTATGTACTGAAGGCCACTCTAACTTCTGGGTAGAGATTGAGGCAAAAGTGGAAGCAGAGGGGACCTATAGGAGGTGAGTGCATACACCAGGCCAGTGATGGTGGTGACTTGGTCTTGAGTAGTAAGCTATGGATAAAGCAGAGAGAAATAATCAAATGTGTTTTGAAGGTAAAGCCAGCAAGACTTTGTTGTGAATAGATGTGATACATGAGAGAAACAGGAATCAAGGAGGATTCCCAGGTTTGGGGCCTGAGAAACAAAATGAGTAATGGTGATGTTTAACTCTACATAGATTTTATTTTCTATTATTCTCTTGTTGAAAAATGTAACTATACTAGGACGTCCCCTCTGCAAAACAGTTAGGCAATTTCTTAAGAAAATTAAACATACACTTCCCATATGTCCCAGCAATCACATCCTGGGTATGTGTCCCAAAGAACCGAGAACTTACATCCAAAATAACCTGTACACAAATGTTCACGGAAACTTTATCTATAATAGACAAAAACTGGAAACAATCAAAATGTTCTTTAAGAGATGAATGGTTAAATGGCAGCATATCCAAACCATGAAATACACTCAGCAATAAAGAGCAACAAACTATTGATACACTCGACGATGATGAATCAAGAGGATTATGCTGACTGGAAAAAAGCCAATTTCAAAAGGTCACATTTTATATGATTCCACTTATGTAACATTCTCAAAAGCACAAAATTACATAGATGAAAAACAGATCAGTGGTTGCCAGGGCTTAGGGATGCTTGGAGGAAGGGGTGGGTATGAAGGGAAAGGTGACATTAGGGAGGTCCTGCAGTGATGGAGCCATTCTGCAACTTGATTTCAGTCGTAGTTACAGGATTCTACACACACGACAAAACAGCACAGACCTATACATACCCATTGTACCAATGCCAACTACCAATGCTGATGTTGCTGTAGAGTTATAGAAGATTTAACTATGGAGGAAACTAGGTGAAGAGCACTAAGGCCCTCTCCATACTACTTTGCAACTTCCAATGAATCTATAATTACTTCAAAGTAACATTTTTCATAAATCTAACTATGCTAAGTATAAGGTAAATAGATTATATAAATATTAAAAATAGTAAAGTGATAAACACTACATCTCACAAAATGATGTTTTATGAATTTATAAAGTACCATTTTGTCAATACATCTTACCACTTGTGGTGCATAGGCAACAGTTTAATTAATCATCAGGATCTCTCTGTAAGAATATTTTCCTCCTAAAAGCCCCTGGAAGCAAACAGCACTTGGAAGTCTCACTCTCCTCTGTTACCTCTAAATAGCAAACAGAACCTGTGCATTCTCATTTCTGTACCTGCACCAAGGGGTAGAGAGGGGTGGAAGCTAAACAGCTGCTGACACTGTTGCTCCAACAGATTTCAGACATGCAAAACTCTGAAAACTACCTTGCTTAGACCCAAGATACTGACCTTTACTGCAAAACAGTTAGGCAATTTCTTAAGAAAATTAAACATACACTTCCCATATGTCCCAGCAATCACATCCTGGGTATGTGTCCCAAAGAACCGAGAACTTACATCCAAAATAACCTGTACACAAATGTTCACGGAAGCTTTATCTATAATAGACAAAAACTGGAAACAATCAAAATGTTCTTTAAGAGATGAATGGTTAAATGGCAGCATATCCAAACCATGAAATACACTCAGCAATAAAGAGCAACAAACTATTGATACACTCGACGATGATGAATCAAGAGGATTATGCTGACTGGAAAAAAGCCAATTTCAAAAGGTCACATTTTATATGATTCCACTTATGTAACATTCTCAAAAGCACAAAATTACATAGATGAAAAACAGATCAGTGGTTGCCAGGGCTTAGGGATGCTTGGAGGAAGGGGTGGGTATGAAGGGAAAGGTGACATTAGGGAGGTCCTGCAGTGATGGAGCCATTCTGCAACTTGATTTCAGTCGTAGTTACAGGATTCTACACACACGACAAAACAGCACAGACCTATACATACCCATTGTACCAATGCCAACTACCAATGCTGATGTTGCTGTAGAGTTATAGAAGATTTAACTATGGAGGAAACTAGGTGAAGAGCACTAAGGCCCTCTCCATACTACTTTGCAACTTCCAATGAATCTATAATTACTTCAAAGTAACATTTTTCATAAATCTAACTATGCTAAGTATAAGGTAAATAGATTATATAAATATTAAAAATAGTAAAGTGATAAACACTACATCTCACAAAATGATGTTTTATGAATTTATAAAGTACCATTTTGTCAATACATCTTACCACTTGTGGTGCATAGGCAACAGTTTAATTAATCATCAGGATCTCTCTGTAAGAATATTTTCCTCCTAAAAGCCCCTGGAAGCAAACAGCACTTGGAAGTCTCACTCTCCTCTGTTACCTCTAAATAGCAAACAGAACCTGTGCATTCTCATTTCTGTACCTGCACCAAGGGGTAGAGAGGGGTGGAAGCTAAACAGCTGCTGACACTGTTGCTCCAACAGATTTCAGACATGCAAAACTCTGAAAACTACCTTGCTTAGACCCAAGATACTGACCTTTTATAGCCCAGCAGTCACTCCTATACTCTAACACCTTTCCTACCCATGTCAAAATGCAAACCTCTGCAATGTGTAATCTCAAAAAGGATGACACTGAGAAGTGAACAGTGGTTCCAAGGGAGAGTGGTTGGAGCTGGTGAGGGGGATGGGGGAGGGCAATAAAGGGACGTAACAATTTGCAATCACAATATAAGTTGGTCACAGGGACTGTAGTACAGCATGGAGAACAGAACCAATGATTCTGTTACATCTTCCTATGTTGACAGATAGTAAGTGCACTAGTGGGGGTGAGGATTTAATAATATGGGTAACTGTTGAACCACTGTGTTGTACATCTGAAATCAATATAAGATTGTTTATCAACAATTAAAAAAAAAAAGAAGGATGGCTTAGACCACAAGCCAATGACCATAATCCAAAGACTTCAGATGCTCGTAACACCAATCATATCTCCAGTATTATAATCTTAAATTTACTGTAAGTCTCAGAACTAGGCTTGGACAAATCATCTAAGTCAACTTGAAGGTGTGAACGGTGATGTAGTCTCCCTCAAACTCTTCACAGCTTCTTTCCTATGCATTTCTTAATGTTCTGGTCTCCTGAACCATCGGTCTCAGTCTGAGTGTAGAACATGCAGTCTTATATTCCTTTAGAGAGGACTCCACCCCCAAGAACACCATTAAGACACACAGTACTCAGGTATGCATGTTAAATCCTAGACACTTTTGTCTTTGCTGAATGACTTGTATTTATTCATCCTTTCATTCTCTTAAACAGGTACATATTTAATCTAGAGAGTTTTTAATGGAGACTAGATTTATAAACCTTTTTTACTATCTTAATTGTAAAAACCTACACAAAACTGTATTCTGAAATCAACTTTAATTCAGGAATTCAAGTATTAACTAAAATATTTTTTTAACTATGTATCTCACATCAGATCCTATCTGATTTTTCAGAATTTAACGCATTGCCAACAAAACCTAGAGCATGTGTTCAATGCTGCCTCTCCAGAGGCTGGTCTCCCTTGGAAAGGGTTCTGTCAGGCACAACACTGTGAACAAAATTAAATCAAAGAGTTCCCATTCTGATTTTTTATCACTTTCTCCATACTGTTTTTCACATGTTCATACATTCCAAAAAGTAAGACATATTATTTTACATTTTTCTTTTCTATTGCTGAATAAAAATTAAACGAATGCAAATGATAAGGGTTAAACACTCTACTAAAGACAAAGCAGTTTTATTTAAATTCTGCCAGTGATCGGAGCCTGGAAAATAGCCAAAAATTAAAAGAAAATGAAGGTACTTACAGCCTACCATCATCATGGCCACTGAAAACATCTTCTCCACGTCCGTGGTAGGAGCTATGTTTCCGAATCCTATGGTTGTAAGGCTTGTCATGGTAAAGTAGAGGGAGGACACGTACAGTGAGTCCTTGCTGGGTCCTCCTTCCCATATCCCTGCACTGGTGTTGTATCGATACGGAGTCCCAATGCTCAAGGCCAGCTGGTAGAGCCAACTGTCTATCTGGATGGTGTTCGTGACTTCATCAATGACCTCATAGTCCCCAATGCTATACCATATGCAGGCCAGCCAGTGGGCAACTAGTCCAAACACACATACCAGGAGTACAAGGACGGCTGCTCCGTACTCTAGGTAATGATCCAATTTCCTAGCAACACGGCCCAGTCTCAAGAGACGTACCACTTTTAAAGAACTGAAGAGACTGCTGATGCCCTGCATAAAAGAAAGGAAATGATACATTTTCAGAAAAGACTGGAGAAGCAATGCAATTCTTCAGGAACTTCATCACCCATTTATATACTAAGAATACACACATAACGTAGCTCTGATGTTCAGTCAACACAAAAACCAAATGATTTAAAATAAAAAGCAGATTCCTTCTCACCAAAAAATAAGATATTTGTGAATTATTAGATAAAGCTTTTCATTAGTTATAGACGA